TGGGGGGGCCCCCCCCCCCCCCCGGTCAACAATCCTGGTCACCACTCGGGCTGTACCTGTTCCGCCGGCCCTGGTACTGACGCCGACGAAAGCAGCGACGACAGTGACGCCCCTTACTCTGATACTATAGGCGTTCCCCATCAGCGCTTTAACATAAGGGAACTGCCTGACAATTTCCTTACGCGAAAAAACAATTTGATAATATTCGTTACACAGCGAGGCGAACCCTGCAACCAAGGAGCGCGCATGCTCGTGAACCAAGGCCGACTGTCGCAAATTGAAAATACTGCCCTTGGACTCGCGAAATTAGTTAACGACAAGAACCGATACATTATCGCATTGATAATTATTGGCGAGCGCACATCGGAGGTGACTGGAAGGCAATTGATGGTGGAAGCGATCTCGTCATTATTAGATGTAATCAACGAGCTCGCTTTACCAGCGGTCTTTATTTGTAAAGGCGATATCAATGGAATGGCATGGCATAAAATCAGAGATATTTTAGACGATACATTTCACGATCACGACGTAAAAATCTCAATTTGCACCAATCAAATCACGACATCTCCGGTCGGCGATCCTTAGCGAATACCATTGTTACGTCCACTCAACGTTAAGTTCGTTGGAAACCTAGCCATACATTTTTCTTTCCAAATAAGTACTCTGATTGGTACTCTGAGACACGATGTAACGTCGCTTCCATATGAAGCGACCTCGGGTCATCGCGCGGAGAATTTGCCTTAAGGCGGCGCCACTCTTCCCGTTGCGCAAGAGCATACAGAGTGGGGGCATGGGACGCCTAATCCTTTGGGACCATGGTCTCCCACGCTCTCTCTGTTTCTGGACTCGAGTATGTAAAGACCTAAGCGTTGACGGCTCCCACTGAGCCATTCATTTTTCTAAGATTCGTAATCCGACTCATCCCTCAACACTTCCTTTAAATTTTCCTCTCAGGGTTCCATTAACGCCCTGTATACTTCGTGCAAGCATCCTGGATGCACTAATCCTTATATTTTCTTTGTGTTTAGCGTATTGTATTAGCGTAACCAAATTATACTAATCATATTCGTGCCTAAGATAATTCTTAACCACGTGTTACCCAACTCGCATCTCTCTAAATTTAATATCTCGGGTTTCAACCGAACATTTTCGCTACTTGTAATAATTTTATAGAAATAATCGTGCTAATCTATTGTGCAACCCATCGTTGGTTAATAAACATATATAACACGTGTTATTGAAATCCAGAAGAGTTATTTCGCGTTCCCACCCCTCTTGCTACTCCCAACATTCTCTGTCCCTTATTCCAATTACCGGGAATAAAACGCAAGATAACCGCCAAGCTGCCGCACGAGAGGAAGATTGGATTCCGCCCACTGCCGAAGATCCCAGTGATTGCTGCATTGCATTGCCATTCGCGCCTCCCTACGCAGGTAAGAGACTCCGTGTGACTCCACGTGGCTGTTTCAGCGCGGCGCCATATTCGATACCGTAGCGTCACTTCATTGCGTTACCACGTGGCGCATCATCAGCTCGCGTATAACTCGCGCCGCAAGTATCCGTGCCGCAAGAATGCCACCTGCAACCGTCGCGTCAACTAATTGTTTAGGCATCACCGATTGGCTCTACTCGAGATATAGCGCGATTTTTGTTATGTGCCCTCGTATCGTAACGTTAGAGTCGCGTAACAGGGGGGTGGACAGTGACGCGTATCGTGCTTGGATCAATGACTCTTTCTGCGCGAGGTCACGCATCGATTTGAATCGTATTAGTAAAGAAATCCTCTGTGAAGGCTATTTCAGCGTGGAGTTGCCGCACGCGCGCACGGAGTATAATCTCACCAACCGCCACTCTCTACACCTCGGTGCACCCAACCGCCTTGACCAATGTGCCCGTTGTTCCCTGACGCTCACTATCGGATGGCCAGTCGGAAGTTGCGAGATTTGCACCGAGGTACGCGCGCGATTTGTCGTCTACCTAGTTGGAACGGGCGACTAACCGTGGAATGCTTTTGAAGCTACTATGGTGGCTATCTCACAGGAACGCGTCTAGTCGTAAAATATTGTAAATTTACAAGATCCCTTGCGCGGCGGGCACCTGATTGGTCGGTGGATCTCTACTCAAGAGGGACCGAGTTTTCCTAAAGTATTTAAATCGGCAGGTGGCGGCAGGCGCCGCACTCGAGAAATTATTGCGGGCTGGCACTGCGCTGCAGTCGCCGCCGAGCCGTAACACCATGACTCCGGTGGGCGGACATAAAGGTATTACAAAGACGTACTTGCGCATCAAACGATACCATTGGCCGAATATGAAAGCCGACATTCAGCGTTATACACAAAACTGCAGAAACTGCCAGTTGAAAAAACTCGTGCGCATAAAAACCCGTCAACCGATGGTCCTAACGGACACTCCGGGCACAGCATTCGAAAAAATCTCCATAGATATCATGGGCCCGCTACCTGAGACTCGAGCAGGAAACGCGTACATACTAACAGTACAAGATTTACTAACCAAATATTCCCTCGCTATACCATTAAAACAGATCACAGCCATCGAGGTGGCTAATGCATTCGTGAGTGATTTCATCTATACTTATGGCGCGCCTAAGGCCGTTCTCACGGATCAAGGGTCGAATTTTGTAACGATGCACCCCCAGAACTGCATCGTTCCCGGCAATGCCAACTCGCCGGATGCCGCTACGGTGACCCCCGGTCACCGTACGCGATGAGAGCGCGGTGCGCTCGAAATACTTTAAGTATAGCAAACATAATTACAGGCCGCGCGAACTCGCAAGTCCGCGAAAACACGAACGTCGCCGAACGACGCCGAACGCCGCAGCTCTCGCTCGTATTGTTCCACGCCGAGAGTCACCGAATGATTCCGGAACAATACGAGCGGGAGCAACATTAGTATAAAAGCGCTCCGGAAAGAACAATTCGGGCTTTTTGCTCCTGATCCGATTCCTGGCACCGACCGATTCCTAGCTCCGATCTCCAAGGCAATACAGCGGTGGTAAGGGTGCTCTCTGCCACTACCGGCATTTACCGGTCAGCTATTGCATTCAGCTCCGCTCTCCGACTCACCGCTCCTAGCAGGCTCCTCGAACCGTCTCGCTGCACCGCGGCGGTAGGACTCACCCTGCCTCTGTCGGCCGTTCCCGACCAGCTGCAGCGACCGCTCCGAGAGCCTTGCAACGAGACGACCGAGCCGAGAGATTCGCATACCCGTGATACGTGACCGGCTTCGACGAGAACCAGGGGGTAGGCATTTGCCCGCCTCCGTCGGACGCTTCCGACAGTCGAAGTCGTGCCGTATCACGCGTGCACGCAGAAAGAGCACCTTTCGGGGCAACGTATCGCTCCTCGCGTTACAACGCGTCGCGCGTATCACACGTGTTCCCGGTGTAAGCCCGCGTCCCGCTCACCGCGCGTCACCGAGCGAAGCACGCGACCACGACTCGCACAACGAATCGTGCCCGCCGCACATACATACCCGCGTTACACATATACACCGTACACTCACAACGAAACAGCTTTGTACACACACGCATACACCGCCGATCGCTGTTACCAGTCGCGACAACTGGTCTCACACGACACACATACACATACATATACACGCACGCACACATTGTACATAAAGACACAAATATATATTTCTTTTGCATCTATCCAAGTCGTATTTCACTGCGATATTACCGCCTTGTCTCTCTCCTCCTGGCCGAACCTCTTTGCGACCTTGGCCGCAGCCCGTGACCGACGAGCTACGTCCGCGCAAAGTAAGGTTGTTTCAATTTTATGAGGGCTCTCATGCGTGCGATAACACGCAAATTTCGGATAACACAATTCAAAACTACCGCATATCACCTCCAATCAAACGGCTCGATCGAGAGAAGCCACTATGTACTATGGGAATATCTTAAACAATATATAGACCGAAACAACGAGTGGGATGAACATTTGAGGCTGGCAACCTTTTCTTATAACACGAATGTGCATGAAGATACAAAGTTTATGCCACATGAATTAGTATTTGGCAAGAATACCAACGAGCGACTCAGTGTTGCCAAGCGATTTGAATATCATATACGCGGATTACCTAGCCTCACTGTTCAATCAACTCCGCGATATGCAGGAAATTGCTCACGAAAACCTCACCCAGGCAAAACAACGGTCGAAACGCTATTATGATAAACCCCCGAGCGTTGAAATGCGGCGATCAAGTCTATCTGTTGAAGGAACCGATAAAAGGAAAACTTTCCGACCAGTATACAGGATCGCATGAGGTCTTGGAAATCTTAGATAATAATAATATTAAGATAGCTATATAAGTAGAGATAGGACGCGAACCGTACACGGAAATAAACTTAAGAAATTGTGTTACATCAGAGAACGCGGAGCGCATCTACCCAACGATGGCGATTCCCACCCCGGACCCAGCAGAAGCAGCTGATACGGCGGCGACCACCGACGCGTCAGTCCAGCGGTCGACGCATGCCGAGATGGATCGACTAGCATTAGTTATCACTCTCCCCCTCATCATTGCGTTATTGTTTTTCACCGTCCCAGCACATGACCTACTGGGTTATGACTGCGAGTGGCACGGCCTCAATATAACCTCGCTGTCATTCCTGGATGTCGGCGACTGCGATCTAGAAAACATCGAACCCGACACGTCCAAGGCATATATCCAATTAATTCAAACCTCAGACTACGATAAACTGAGTGTACTCCAATGCCGGATGGAAATAGACCGCATAATCTATTAGGTGTTGAACTTAATTCCTGCCGCTTAATTTAAAACAATGTTCCACACCTCTAAAAAACCTAAAAAAAATTTTTTTAATGTAATATGCTAAAAAGTGTGTCAAACTTTTTAGCATATTACAATACAAAAATTTTTTTTTAGATTTTTTAAAGGTGTGGAACATTGTTTTAAATTAAGCGAGCGACAGGAATTAAGTTCAACACCTAATATTATTGTGGGATGCATTCGCACATCTCGGTAGTGCACGGTGGTCGGAAGGAGTATATAGGAGTATATACCACGGTGGGTCAACTCCATACGGAAATCTGAAAGTGTTTGGATTAATATCGCGTAACAACTCCAGATGGCAGCAGCGACGTTTTTGAACGCCATTTCAAAACGGCAGAAACAAATAAAGTCTCGCGAGATCACTCGATTCTGGCCGGAATCGCCGTCATTTTTGCGGCGAGTGCCATCAATTTTGAAGAGGAAGAAGAAGAAGGCAGAAACAAATCGCACATGTATTTTTGAGAACATTTTCAGTGTGTTTGAAATGGATAAACAAAGATGTGTTGTGCCAGGATGTACAATGAGTCGAACGGCATCACGACACATATTTCCAAAGAATATCCAGATAAGATGTCTTTGGATTAAAGCTGTGCGCGCCCCGCGCCTTATTAATATTCCATACGACCAAGTTCGTAAAGAAAAATATCGGGTGTGCCACAAACATTTCGAACCAACAGCCTGGGTTCCAGGATTTAAAAAACCGACATTGAGAGATGATGCCGTTCCAACTTTGTATTTGCCGACAAGTGACGATGAGCTGGAAGACGTAA